TCGGTATTAATTTCGAGATAAACAATAAAATAAATTACGTTAAATATTAATTTCATCGTCTTAAGCATTTTAATTTAATCGTATAGGTTAAAAATAATTTTTTAAGTTTTACTTTTCATTCATAAAAGTAACTTATTCTATGATGAGTTATTAAAAACTCAATTAGGTTTATACGATAAATAATATATATTATTTTTTGAAGAAATTTAGCCTATGTGTTACCAATATACGATATGGCTTTGTTAATAAATATGCTTATTAAAATATTTAACTTTCTTTTCATCATATTAGATAATATAAATATGTACAGTACTAACCTTTCGAAATTGGCTTGAAATTATGCAGAGAAGAATAAAGCTGATACATTGGATATTTCGATTTATTCGACTCCCTAAAGCAACATAAATAGAATTATTTTTTATATTTTAAATATAAGTTTTATATAACATGAATTTCAATGACTGAAATACTTTCTTAAAGTATTTCACATACCTGTATATTAAAAACGTTTTGGAATTCTTTTTTAAAACAAATTTTTGTAATTACAAAAAAATTTAAGATTTATTATTTTATTAAACGTATTTTCATGTACAAATAAAATTTTACCCAAATTTCAGAAACTGCTTTAACTTCTAATTTCAAAGGTTAAAAAAAAAAATAATATTTATAATAAGTTCCAAACAGCAATTTGGTTAGCACTAAAAGTCTTTTCCGATTTATGGCATATTCTAGTGTCTGTGCCCATCCTATAATTTGTATTTAGTCACGATTTTACAAAAGGTATAGCGTCCCAGTCTTTTAATTCTTTTCTCAGTAAATTGATAGTCATAAATTTAGACATGTGTTCATCCGTTTAAGCGTTTCTTATTTTCGTGCATATTGCATTCATTAAACTGAAATCTCTTTCAGCTTCTGCGCTACTAATTGCTATGACATTATTTTTCTAGCTTTTTCTACTGTTTCAAGNATTTTAGATAATAAATTTGTATTAATAGAGTTTAATAATAATAGATTTTATAATAAAATAAACCTTAATATTGATATTTACATACTGATTAAGAAAATTTAATCGAAAAAACATTCAGTAGATTTATAAAAATCGATTTTAGTTAATACTTTGTGAATATAAATAAATCATTTAAAATTATAAGCTTACATTTTGGTTTTGATACGCAGTCACAGTTATAAACGTTGTTTCTTTAAATTCGAATTTAAGAGCTTTGCATGGGTTTATTTGCTTTTCAACATTCGTAACGATATCTTCGACAGGTAAAATGTAAAATCTAGGTTGATATTTATGCATTGAATGAACAATAACCTGATTAACAGAGAAACATGAAATAAATACAAATTATATAATAAATGTTATAGATTATTATAATTTTAAATATTTAAAAGAGAAAACTGTTTACTTGATTAGGAAGTTTTGGATATTTGTTATTAGTCAATTTCAATTTGTCAAAAGAGACGATTTGGGTCATCCAATAACGTCCTGTAGCTGGACTATCAGGATGTATATACTTATTTTGAGGATCTTGAGGTTCTCCTATTCCAGCTTTTACCCATTTACAGCTATATTAATACAAATAAAAATTGTTTATTGAATTTTACTTTAATAGTTTTAATAATCTAATAAAAATATTCATATTATGGAATTAAAATATCTAGAATAAGATATCATTGATAGAATATTTACCTTTGATATTGATACCTATAACGATTTTCACTAACTGCTGCAATCTCCACCCATATAACATAATTTTTCTCCGGTTGAAGACCCGTGATTTTCACTTTTAAAGGCGGAAAGATGCGTCTAAAATAACAATTTACACTACTTTTAATATTTTATAAAATGGCTTAATAAAAAAGCAATTAACAAGATTTTATTTGTAACATTAAAACAGTAATTTCTACTTAAAAGATTATGTAAATATTAATTATTAATTAATGTAAAAACATTTAATAATACCTTCCTGTTTTATTAACGATCATTTCGTTGCCAATACAACTAAATTGTGTCCACAAACTTCTCGAACAAAGCTCCAATCGTACATCACCTGTATCTTGTATTTTGTCATTTAAATTTTTAGAAATGTTCAACTGTCGATAAGTTGTTTCTGTAAATAATAATAAACTATTTTAGAATTTAATATTTTACATCCTCATTAATTTTACATATTTAATAAATTAGATAAACAAAAAGTAAAATTGTAAATAATTAAATATAACAAATATAAATAGTAAGAATATCTTCGATATAATCTTAACTGAACAAACTTGAAATTTATTTATAAAAATAGATTATTTTTGCATAAAATTTTAAAGTATTTTGTTAAATCATCATATTTACGTTTAATAAAATATTTAGAAAATTTTAATTAAATGCATATTAATTAAGAATCTATAAATATTAAATTTCTATTTACTTCTGAATTAAACAAAAATGTACAGAATCATCTCAAAGATTGAATAAATTAAGAAAAAGTAAATATCAAATATAACTAAACTTATACTTTAATGCGAGTTAAATAATTTATTTGAAGCATAAGTGAAACGGTCGACCGAAAAAAAAAATAAATCTAATTAAGTTTTCTCTGAATTATTTAATACAAAAACTGAACAAATTGAAAATATTTTCAATGATTGTATTACGAAAGTATATGAGTTATTTTTCTCCAATTATTTTTGTCCGTTTAACTATAGCGTTAATAATAAAATTTATTACTAAATCTATAAATAAATATTTTAACTTATATACACATGAAATTATTGTGCAATAACGTGTTCATTAACGTTTATTCAGCTTTTTCAATCAATCTTAACACAATCACAATCAACAGTATAGAAATGCACTGTATCATCTTAGACTGATTAAGGGCGTATGAAGCATTTCTATACATTTTATATCAGAACATTCTCTAATAC